AATGAACTTCAATAAATTTCCTGGACTTGTTTCGTCCTTCTGAAAGGTGTTTTTTTTATAAGTTTAGAAATCGAAACAAGTTAAAAGGTTAAAGATCTGGCGACTTTTGTTTTTGAAAAAAAATTAACTTTCTGTTTATCCCGAAAACCCCTTTACTCTTAGGGGCATGCGGGTATGGACACTATCATGAAGAAATTCTATGTAGTGGATTCCTGTTTCTAGGTCCTTCCGCTAATAAACCTTTCGATTTTTTGGCAAAAAAATTGCATTCTAGACTTCACCAGAAATTAAGCAATACCACTAACATTTAAGAAAATTGCATATAAATCTGTCTTTGTGCTCTTGCATATCTTTGCAGGGGATGTTCACCTCTCAATGTCACCTGATCCCTCTTCTGACGTTTTGGTCCGTCTTTGCTCTGCTCAAATTTTGTATTGTTTAATTGACTTCTGGGCCTATTTACTGTTCGTTTTCTTATATATTTCATTGTACCCATGGCGATTATATATTTATGTTTGCTAACATTACTGATGATACTGTACCGCCCTATTTTCCCATTTGTTCTGTTTTTATTTTCTTATTTAATATTGTAACATTATACATACAAAAACAAATTTTAATCCCAGTTTTGCTTCTTTCGACCTTGTTGTTTATGTATTTATTCAAAATTTGTCTCCATAAACCAAATCACTTATACATGATAATGCATGAATTGTCATGTGGTGTTCTATTTCTGAAAAAAAAAAAACATATTGATAACTAACAAATATAATTTATATAATCATGGAAGCTCCTTTTATATATTATGTGCATTTTTGTAAAGGCATTGTCTTTTTTTAAGGTCATTTTATGATTATTTCAATGGCAAGGAAGCCTTTATTCTGACTAGGATGTTTTTGTTTATTAGAAATGTTAAATATAGCACTGGTTGTATGTAAAAAGGAACAGCGGAGAAATTCCCCTTGTTTTCTTTATTTTTAAATTATATTGACATTTTTTTCTATTTTATATATACCTTTACCGGGAAATAAATATTTCATGTTATGTAAGAGAAAATTTAAGAATTAAGATTCGTAATTGTATCCCTTTACACTGCTGTATACAGAAAGTAATTTTTTAATAGAGTCAGAAAAATAGAGCTTTCTTCGTAAAGATTGCGTCCTTACATAATTATTATTTCAAATGAAGCTTTAAACAATCAAAGCATGGAAAAACCATCAAGGACATAACTGAATATGGCTGAATCATAATAAAAACACGATATGTTTGTGAAAAACTATGCGCACGGCGTATGGGTCACAGTCAAATTCACAAGGTCATCGACCTTGGTGGTTTTTAAAAGAAACTAATAAGTGAGGTATCTACACCTTATATGAAGCCTCTAACTGTCATGTTTCAATAAGTTATGGTGGAGACTCAGAAAAGATTTTTTTTGGTATGTAGGTCACAGTCAAGGTCACAAGGTCAATGAGCTTTGTGTCATTTGAAAGAGATTTATTAGTGGAGTATGCACACCAAATATGAAGTCTCTATCTTAAATGGTTCAAAAGTTATGGCAAAGGTTAACATTTGCAGACAAAAAAAAAACTATTTTTGACATGTTGGTCACAGTTAAGGTTTTAAGATCATTGACCTTGATGAATTTGAAAGTCTTTCATTTATGGAGTATGCATAAAAATATAAAGTCTTTTTATGTCATGGTTCAAAAGTAATGGCAAAGGTTAACATTTGCACACAAAAAGCTATTTTTAACATGTAGGTCACAGTCAAGGTTACAAGGTCATTGAACTTGATTTCCTTTAAAATAATTTATAATTCGTTGAGTATGCATATCAAATTTAAAGTCACTACCTGTCATTGTTCAAAAGTTATGGCAAAATTAAACATTTGCAGACAAAACTTATTTTAGCATATAGGTCACAGTCAAGGTCACAAGGTCATTGACCTCGGTGTCATTTAAAAGAATTTGATAAGTGGAGTATGCATATCGAATATAAAGTCTCTATCTGTCATGGTTCAAAAGTTACAGCAAAATTAAACATTTGCAGACAATACTTATTTTAGCATATAGGTTACTGTCAAGATCACAAGGTCATTGACCTTGGTGTCATTTAAAAGAGCTTGATTAGTGGAGTATGCATATCAAATATTAAGTCTCTATCTGTCATGGTTCAAAAAATATGGCGAAGGTTTACGTTTGCAGATAAACAGACAAACAAACAGACAAACAGACAGAGGACAAACACAAAAACAAGGTCTCCATAAAGAACACACAGGACAAAAACTATTGGCCCCAGATCTATTGATTCCGGCGCATTATCAAATCCTTAAACACAACAATCATATTGCGGAATAAAAACAAATAAGAGCTAAAATTCTGACGTTTTTTTTAAAATTCAAAATTATGTAATAGCTCTACAAAAAAAGGGGGGGAAGTCTTTTTCTCGTTTATATAACTCAGCACCCTTGATGATTATCTCATACTTCAATTTTATCTATTTATCTAGATCTGTACACTATAAATTAATCTTTTTTTTCCGGTACACTTCGCAGAAAATATTACATTGAAGTTTGAAACTAGCTTGTGCCTTCTTGAAAATCTCATTTTAGATTTGTTTCTCACTTACCAATTTCAATTAATCAAACTTTACTCTATAAAAGGGTGCCAGGGCCATATTACAAACATAAGAATGAGGATAAACTAAATGTGCGTAACAGTCCTTCCCTTACACTTTGTCCAATATACACTGTCTTAACCCTTATATGTCTAGAGTGAAAATGTAGCAGAATAATTAAGGTCTTCGGTCTTCAGGGCATAAAAATTAATTTTGACTTTTGGTTACACCGCAAGTAGCAAAAGCTGGCTTATTTTGCATTAATTAATATAGCTTTAGAGAATCTAAACCATTTTTTGATTTTAATACTCATTTTTGTAAAATAAAAATAAAAGTTACTTCCGGTCAAACAGGACGAAAGACCTACTCATTGCTTTGCAACGAGCTTTGCTCTAGTTATATATTATTATTTGGTTTACTCGTGAACTTTAACTATAGAGGAGAATGCATATTTGAATTGTATGGATCCCATGGACGGGATGAAGCAAAGAAAGAGTTAAAACTTCGTAAAATTGAGGGTAATTATAACTAAACAAATATGCACATATTCTCAAATTGATTTAGATTGTTTCCTTTTCATCACATGTCATATCCAGTGATACAAGCGAAACTGATTTTATAGAGGCCCCTATGTCTTTTGTTTGAAAGAGCCATTGATTTTTTTGTTTGCGGTTACCTGTGAAAGGTTTTTTCTCTAGCCAAACTTGATTTTGAAAGTTCGTTTAATTTAATGGCTCTGCAATTATCATAGATTCAATTAGGTATTAGGTATTATGTTCTGTGATATCAAGATTATTTGAAAATTGTCACCCAACGCATTGAGTTGATGATTGTATGTTGTTTTACGTCCCGTTCAAGAACTTTTCACTCATATACAGACGCCACTGTGTGTCTGTGAAGGCTGTTCATGTACCTATACTCGGTACTCAGAGCCATTGAGCACTGAGGGTTCTTTATCGTTCCAACGCCTACCGTGACAGGGGACCTATGTTTCTAGGTTATCGTATGCCAAAGACCCATAACTTTCACTTCTAATGCCGAGCACCTTGCGAAGGATCAGTCATAACCTATATTTACATCAAATGTTTGACACGGCGCCGCGAACGAATATCGAAATCGGGCCTCCCAATCTTGAACACATTTCGAATATCGGATAAAACTGATTACTGGTTTTCTTTTTTAAAGAACCTTTAAAACAGTCCATCTTTATTTTTAAATAATTCAAATATAATGAAAGTCTTTACCTTTTTTAAGAAATTGTAAAATATGAGGAATAGTATAAAGATGTACAATTATGAATGAGAAAAGAAAGATTGACTGTATTTTGATTAACATCCCTTTTGATTTTTTTAAGTCAAATTGAGACGATACCACTTGTAAGCGGAGAGCTGCAAATTTTGTCCTATGCTCGGTACTCATTGCCCTTGAACAGGGAGGAATCTTTTTCATGTCATCATCCAATGCGACAAGGGACCTTGGTTTATATGGTCTAATCAGAATGAACGGTCTCTACGTCTCACAAAGGGATTCGAACCCGCAACGTAAGGATTGACTCTTTACTTCGCGACTCTAGAGCAGACGCTGTAACCACTGCGCCAAGCTGGCGACAGAAAAGAACGGAATTCAATGTCATTTTTGATTTAAGCTTTCATTAAACCTGCTTAATATCACCTTTAAAAGTATCACTGAGAAACGATGGATAAGATATGATCACGTAAGAAAACATGAAATACATTATGAGTGCATTACAAATATCGAAGTCATAAGCTCTTATATATTTTTATAATTAAACACGTGTAATTCCCATTTAAGAGGTACTCGCGATGAAAATTTGCAGTACACGTTCCCTAAAAAGTACACGGATAATGATGACGTAGAAAAAAAAAACTTGCGTGCCATCTAGCTTTTATTAAGGTTATGTATGTTTTTGCACGCCATCTAGCGTCAATTCAGTGAATGATTGTTGGTTTTGCATTTGTGATTGTTGGTTTTGCATCGGAGTTTGTTGATTTTGGAAACGAGTCTGTTGATTTTCTTGTCTTTTTTGTATGTCAGGATGTCATAAAAATAATTTGTTAGTTTTGCATTAATGTCTTTTTCGCCCTCTCCACTGCGCATACCCTATCATAACTGCGTATAATAATATATATGAGAAGGAAATACGTATATCGTTTCAAATATAAATGGATTTATTTCCCTTGTTATAAATCAACTTTGTACATGATCACAAGCTGTGCAATCTTGAAATAGTAAAATAAAAAAAACAACATTATAAAAATGTAGATTTTTTTAAAATTCACTTTCATGTGTTATTTTTAATGCAATTTAACAACAGAACAAAAGAATAATTATAAAACTTTTAAAGGTTAAACAAAGTGTTCTTTTTTACGATGCATGGATAGAATAAGCATACACTAATGATCCCTTTTCGATTATATATCGTACATTTATATTTAATTGCTGTGCAACATGTCGAATTCTTCTTTCTGTAGCTTTCCATATTTCGTGGAATGGTTCCATCATAAGCGACTCTTCAAAAGACCACAACGCCCCCTCGAAGTCACCCACAGTATTCTTGCAGATTCCAAGTATCTGCCAGGATATGTCTCGTGATCGCGAAGGTACATACTTCCCATCATCATCATTCAGCAACAGAGTCTTGAGGTCTGTCACTGACTGTAAACTCTGAGATCTATTACCTAGTCTGTAGTGAGATAACACTGACAACATCTCTATCACAACTATTGGTGGTATAAGTAGGATAACTGTTCCATTCTGTAGACTCAAAGTCTGTTCTAAATCTAATTCTTCTATAAAATGAAGAGCGTTATTTAAATTTATATCTATAACCCAAGATTGTTTCATCCTTTTAGACAAAGGTAGGTTACCTACAACCTCATGGTACCTCTGTCTATCGAAAGTTTTACAATACAGGTTAAAGTCCTGCGACAATCTTTGTTTACAGAGAGTGACAGTGTGTAGTGTTTTATCATACTGAGCTGTTCTATAGTAATACAATGCAAGGTATACTAAATTAGACATTGGAAATAACTTAGCTGCTAACTTTATCATGTTACAATTTATTCTATCTAAAAGGTATACATGTTTTTGTGTACAAGAAACAGAGGCGTTTGCAACTGCGAAGGCCAGATGAACAAGCGTCTCAGCTGTAGCATACTGTATTCCAAGAATCTGGTATGGAGATAATGAAAAACTTGATAATTTTTCAATTGATTTCAAGTAAAGATACCAATCTGGTATATTCCTGTAAGGGAGGAAGTTATTACTAATTTCCGTCCTACACCACATATCTATATCTGCAACACCTATAAATCTTTCCTCAGCAGACGATAGCACAAAGGACGGACTACAGAGAGCTGGTTCTAGGATTGATCTCAGAGTCGGACTCAGCAGTAGACAGGACACACCCATTTTGTAATACTGATAGAGCTGTTTTAAAAGTGATTTGCGTGCACCACCAACTACAGAGTTTATGAACATGTTGTTCTGAGGGATAAAAAAGTTGGGGAAATTTTCTCTATAAACACAGTGAATGAGATAGTTGAAACACTTCCAGAGGCAATCCAATAAATTGTTCGGACACCACCTTAAATGTCCCTGTTGTATCATCCAGAACATTGTGGTCTTCATGTAATATGAACAAAGAAGTGGTTCTTCTTTGTAATTGAAAATTTCCTTTAGAAATATTTTTAGAAGTCCGTAACATAGAAATTGTATATGATTCATAATAAACACTAGTCGTTGTTCTGCTATAGAAAATGATAATCTCCATTCTAATTCGTTAGAAGTCGATACAATTTTACTTCCAATGGGCACACAGTGCAATCCATTTTTAAGTAATATTTGCAACATTTGAACAGGCGGCCATGATTGTCTCTGACATCTGTCAAACCAAGCTCTCATTTGTTTAGGCCAAATTATACTTGCAAAACCAACAGCATGATCAAATTCAAATATTTTATCCGAACCACTAGTACATGGACCATGGATATGGATATTATTATGTTCAAAGCTTTTATCGCTTGCCATTGACAGAAAATTTATTTCTCGCCATAAAGAACTCGACAGATATGCTTCACCATTTACGGTAACAAGACTAGATAAAAGGTAAATGTCTCGTGTGGGTGTAAGGAGACGTAGTCTTACAAACCCTGGTGGTACGTCGAAATCTTCCATCATTATGATATCATGTTTGGATGTATTATACATCCCCAACTGAGACATATCATTTATTAATTTACATTTACAAGGCCAGCGCATAAAATCTAGGTCACATGATTTTAACCTAAAGCCCTCTCTGTAACTACCAGTAGAAATCACTAACGCTCCTCTTTGCAAACAAATAGGTATCTTTATCATCTCTCTTAGGTCCAACAGACACCTTCTGATGGCGACTTCTTCCGGGAATCCTATCTTATCACAAAGGCCAACAAACAGGATCTCTGCTAACCGGGAACTGTGAACCATTCTGCATATAAAGTCAAGTAAATGAATCATATTTCAATTGACTCTATAAAAAGATGCATGAATAATGGTTTCAAAAAATAATACTTCTTAACAAGTGTATTTGAAAGTACATCTATTCATACAAGGGTTTATTAAAGAATGTGTCAATAGCCTGGTCACAAATAAAGAGTTGTATATCACCTTCTAAAAGTGTTGATGGGATGAGAATATGTCTATGACCTGTACATTGTGGTTGGTATAGTAATCAGGAGGCGCATAGGCCACATTACTAAACTGAGCACTGTGACAAGGACAACAACAAAATCAGTTAAGTATTTTTAAAAAAAAAGCCTTAATGCATAAGTGCTCGGGACCTTTATCTGAAAAAGAGAGATAGGGGGTTATGATCTGAATTTTTCCAACAAGTTGAACTTTCATTGTGGCCCAACCCTATCCCTGGGGTCATGATTGGAATAAATTTGAATCTACATTATCCGAGGATGCTTCCATGTAAAAATGATCAATTATGGCTTTGTTGACCTTTAGAGGAAGGTCATATGGACTTTTCCTATTTATTTCTTGATTTATTTATTTAAAACTCTGATCGTCCATTTTTGCCCAAGCCTTCCCCTTGGGGTAAATGATTTAACATAATTAATTGAAGATAAAACCATTTTAGGATGCCTCATAATAAATATAGTAGAAGCCAAATATGTCCTTTCTGTTCTTAGAAAGGATATTTTCAGAAGATTTTTTTCGTATACTGTAATCTAACTTTTATTCACGTGCGAGAAATTTTTGCGAGGTTTGTGAGAGTCTCGTGATCATGAATACTTTTGACGCGAACCAATCCAAAAAGTCTCTGATTCTCTTTCATCAAAAAAGAATTAACGCAAAATTCGTCACTGTGAACTACATTACAACCGATAGATTGAGATATACTGGTAATTACATTTCCAATGTCTTTGTCCGAGATAAAATCACAAATTGTAAATGTGCTTTATTTCCCCATCAATATTTTGGCGTGGTTAAAAACATCACGTGCAGGGCGGGACAAATACACTGTAGCTAGACAGAAGCAGGGCTTAGAGCACGTAGATTGGTGGAATTAAAGCATGTAAATATAAGGAATAAGTGTCAGAATTTTCAATTTTATGACAATCATCAATCGAATGGCTTGCGTGAAAAATTTATGCATAAACACTTTTGGTGAGACGATTTTTCAATTATGCCTTTTTTTCCCTGTTTCATATTTATCACCCCTAGGAATGGAGGAGGGCTAGGTCCTTCATTTGAACTAATTTAAATTCCTTTACTCAAGAATACTCTGTGCCACGTTTGGTTGAAATTTGTTGAAGGTCGTTCTGGAGTAACAAAATGAGATTGTTTATGTGAGCTGCAGAACTAACATCCCAGCATTGTAAAAACCTTCAATTTACGCCGACGATTTTTTGTCGCTACTTAAGGTGTTTATTTCGTTTAGTCTAAGCTTTCGCTGGCTTTTAAAATTGCATCCTATAATAATTCATATAATTAACTCTTATATTTGATACTTTATTTACCTTTAAGGTCCGATACCCTTCGACGTCCGTAACCACAAACATGCAGCTAAGCAACCGTTTATAGGTAAGTAAATTATCAGGAATTGAACTTTAATTAAATAATAAAATGCTTTCTTTGTTTGTTATTACTGGAATTAACGGAAGCAGCTGTTGCAGAAAAAAATACATAACCCGCGTAAGCAGGTTATGTAATTTTTTTTCTGCAATAGCTGCTAACGTTAATTCCAATTATAACAAACAAAGACATTTTATTGTTTATATTTATATATGTTTAAATAATCATTTAACGAGGCCCGATCAACTTGATCTGCGCTAACGTTTTATCGCAGCGTCGACTCAGGCACGTCACAATACCCATGACTACCGTCACAATTGAACATAATAACGTCACAGTTAAAATGACGTCAAATTGCGCTAAACTGTTTCGCCGATCTTGCTTACCTGGTAGCTCTATAGAATATGCATTAAAAGCTGGTATTTCTGTTTTTTTTTTTAAATATCTAGATTAATTAACAACTTTGGGACCTAAATAATTTTGAGAGATCATTTTTTTCGTACAGATTTATTAATTTTATCCTGTTTTATTTCAATTTGTGAGTTTAAAAAAACAAACGCTGCAACTAAAAGTAAACGATTTTAGTCTTTCTCTTTGAACATGTTGAAGTGTTTATACACACTCTTTTTATTGCGGACTTAAATATGCATGGATTATCTTCAGTTTTAAAAAATAAAATAAGTCTATAAATCATTTAAATTGAACCCCCGAAATATTTAATTTTTCTATATATTACATAATATTAGTAAAAAAAATCGCAGTTTTGTCGCGAAGCGGATTATAAAAAAGCGTAAACTGACCCAAACCATGTTATACTCGATAATTTGGCCAAGAATTAGAGTCATTCCTTATGATTTAATTTCAAAATACTTATTCAACTGGGGATGTCAAATTGTGTTGTTTTTATGAGTTCAAATTTACCGCGCAATAATACAACCGTAGTAACGGAAGTGATGGGAAGCGAGGGGAGGTAAAAACTGATACATAGATCTAGCAGCCATGATGCTTGTTTACATGAGGTAAGATCGAGTAATTGTTTGAAATTAAAGGTACATTTATTAAATCATGAATTTTCCATGAATCCCAAGGACTGGAAATGAGGGGATTGATGGATACAGATGATTATGCTGGTTGTCAAGGGGGTGTGTCCCCATACCAAAACAGATTATACAAAATGTTATGCATTCCTTTTTGGAAATCAACCAATGAGAGGCAAGAATACAAGCAAAATTAAATTATTTTTTTATAAGAGGAATGAACATTGCATGATATATGTGAAAAACAAAGAATTTCATCATGTATTTTTTTTATTTGTAAATTTCTTTGTTTTTTGAAGAGTTTTAGTATGTAATTGTGTATAAAAACACGAAAATGGTCCATATCTTGACAGTGCCCCCATTTCACTACAATAAAGGCAAGGTAACAATACTTCATCCTAATTTTTCTAAGCATAAAACATACAAGTATATTTCCAAGAATTAAAAATTTTTATCATTCCGTTTTCGTAATTTTTAACTAGATCGGGCCTCGTTAAAGAAGGATTAAAAAGGTTAATACTTGTATTAGTGAAGCGAAAGTCTTTATATGTTTCATTAATGGAACAGCCACTGATCAAGATATCTGTACAGGCGACATGCCTAATGTAGTTCATGCAGTTATTAAAGCAATGTGTTTTCTTAAGAAATAAAGGAGAAAATATTCAGTGGATGTAATATTGTATGATTAATTGTTAAATACCATTTAAAATTAATTTCGAAGCTTGGTAAGTATAAAATACATGAAAAATACCCGTAGTGAGCGATAAAAAATCGTCGGCGTAAATTGAAGGTTTTTCAACGCTTGGGTCTGTAGCTTTCTACGTTATCTGTCCCAATTTTCTCAAGCAGAGAGCCACAGTTCTGCAGCTAGCTAGTTAAAATATAACAACGACAATGCCAACAATGACGACAGCGACAGACTATCAACAAATTTCAATTTAAAATCTCATATGTGCCTTCAACTTTAGTGATTTAAAAATGCAGGTAGAGGGCTAAAATAGGTTTTGCCTGCTGCCCAGTCCCATTTAATTTTAATTATGAATAAATTTTTAAATAAATACAATCTTAAAAAGCAGCAATTAAAAATTTCTATTGTCGCCAAACAGACCGACTCATTTGATTTAATATCATAGACATTAAATTTTATTACAACTACACCTGTGTTTTTAAATATATATTTAAAAAGTCACATTATGAATGTCTAGATGCAAATAGCGGCGGGTCTTTTTGTTAGATGGAAATACTCATCAGCTCATCTTCTTTCTTTTTCACTTAAATGCTTCTAACATTTATTCATGCATGACTTGAGACAAATTCCAATTCTTCTAAAAACAGTTTTTTGATGGACAGGAGGGAAAAAAGAAGAAAAACATTTGACAGAATAGCCTACTATTCTTTTTAAGTGGAAAATCGTACTTATTTCTTTTTAACCGCAAACAACAAAATCTTGAATATTTATATATGTAACAGGGACAGGAACAAATATCGATGATCATTCTCATACATGCAACCCTTGCACACCATTCAAATTATGAATCAACAGGGTAAGAGATCACTGGAAATATTAAAAGTGTTAGAGGTGACAAGCAGGTACCTACAGAAAGACAAAACATCCCTAGTTTCTTGGTAGAAGCACATTGATATTAAATATACCGTGGTATTCAATATATGGAAAGAAAACAGGTAGTATACAGTCATTTAAAATCATTCTACCAAAACCCCTATCAACAGAAAAGATGAAACTAAGGTGAGCGTCTTCTAGCAAAACGCAGATTCAAGTTCATTCAAACCATAACCACTGGAGTGAAACAAAATTTAATGCATGTATGATATTTCATTCAAAAGTACAGAAAAATGTTAAAATATGCATAAAAAAAGAAACGCAGAGTAAACTTTTAATAGAGTTTGATGCATTTTGGCTAGAACAAAAACAACAAAAGGCCCAGGGGCCACATCGCGCACCTGATCAAATCGGCTAGGAAAACACGCAAATCAGATAAAAACTGAAAAGGTTACTGAAGGGGGGGGGGGGCATGGCTTGAATTTTAATACTACTTGAGAATGCCTTCAAATTAAAACAGCATATGACCTTGCTGCTCTTGAAACATTTTCTTCCTTGTATATATAACTTCATAATAATTCATATAGCTTTTCTGTTCTTGCTATTTTCTCTTTATTTTTCTATGTAACACTGTCATCCACCATTTTGCACTCCCCTACCATTTGGGGTTATGATTTGAACAAAGAAGAAGGTATGGTTTTAGCTTTATTGCGCCCTAAAAATGTAATGACATCAAAAAGTTTTGAAAGTGGCTGAAATATTAGTTAAATAAATGACTCTGATAAATCAGGAATGTATATGGTATG